AAAAGAAAGCATTTTTCGTAAGCAATTTAAAGACATTTGTATTTAATTAGGCTAGAAAGATGAACAATCACACATAAAGGGAGAGTAAGAACAGCAAAGGAAAATGAATGAAAAATTTAGTTGAATTTCAAAATCAAACCAACTGGGTTCCTTAACGTAAGGTTCAATACTGTTACTGCAGAGAAGTGATCAGTGCTTGGGATGAGATGGAGGGATTCTCTTTCAATTCATTGGTCTTCAATTCATTCAATTCATTGGGGTTTTGGTTTTTTCTTCATTTCTCTTTTGTTTTAATACTTATATTTTATCAGTTGCTGTGCTTGAAGACACTGACACCAATTAAACAGGGGAAAAAATCAGCCATATAATATAGAAAAGTGTGTTGCCTTGCAATTAAGCAAAGTAATTCTCTATTTCTATTCCAACACATCCCATCTTTTGGGTTATATAAGATAGGGCTATTTTTTAAATAAATAAAGTCTAGATAAAAGAAGCAAGAATCTTTCACACAGGTTATGACACATGGACAAAGATTTGCAATCTTATTTTTCTGTTACTGTATCTTTTATTAGCAGGATTATTCATTTATGGGATCTTTACATTCTAGCACTAAAGCACAGGCACTGGCTAGTTGTAGAGTGGGTGAAGGTCTCATTTGCTCAGCCAAATGTTTCTTTTTTCAACCCTGACATAATTTGCTACCTGAAGGAAAACTACCTATCAGTTGGCTGACTCCGGTGTTTGAGCCAATAATAAATCAATTTTGATGACTGCCAAAATGTCTCAGTAGGTCAGTTGTTGTGCAAAAACCTAGCTATGGCATTTCTCTATTAGATGGGTGAAACTAATTCCAAAGATCGTTGGCCTAGATTAAAAAGTAACAATTGTCCTTCCTGCAAGATATATCTTGCTAGCTGCTGAATTGGATTTGGCTCATGCTGTGGTTTTTTTTTTTTTTTTTTTTTGGCAGCTTGTTGGATTCTGACCTTAAGATTAGATTCCAACAAATACCAATGTATGAAAATATCATATGAATTTCTTGTATTTAAATGGTAGCAGTTCTACTCGAGGGACTTATGCTTCATTTATTATAATAGTTCCTTCTGTCTTACTCTCCCTTTTGAGAAGCAAAAGCTGGACCCAAAGCTCTTTCACCAGATTAAGAGTAAAGGCTGCCCTGAACAAATATTTCCAGTTACAGTTGGCTGGGTCATTATAGCATTTTTGTTCTTAAATATTGAACTTTAATTGTTTATTTTTAATTTATAATTATAACCGAGGGACTACAAAAGTATTAAATTTTTTTAGGTAAGCTAGGAATGGTCAATTAGTGAGGAAAAGAACATGATTTAGATTGAGAACAAATGACGGTGGTGATGTTGTCAAGTGATTTACTATTTAACAGTCTGACTCACCCAAGTCTCTGTCAGTTGCAAAGGAAAACATATAGGTACAATTTTGGTGAGATGGATCTCTTCTTCCATATTGCTACCAAATCCAACCCGCCCCACAGCATCATGAAAGCAGCATTTCAGAGAAGAAACTCCCAACATGATGTGTTCCTTAGCTTAATGCAGCCATAGGCTCTGTTGTATGTTAGCTGTGTGTGGATGTATTTCAGATTGTATGTCTCTTAGTGATTCAACCACATTATTCACTTTGTTTTAGAATATTACATTTCCTGTTTTCAAGCACTAATCTTATTTGGCCACTGGAACCATCAGAACATTTTATTTCATCAAATGAGAATGTACAATTACTTGTTATATGGAAAACCATATTTTTACCAAAATTCATCCAGATAAATTTTATTATTTAAATTAGCTAACAATCAAGACAGGGTGATGCAAGCATTTCAAATAGATGTCAGCTTTGAAATTCAGCTGCCACATTATTTTTTAGAGAGTTAGAGGAATTGAAAAGTTCAAGGTTATTCTGTATGTCGTATTAAGAATTTCCAGTTGCAGTTAATTGGTTCTTGTGATTTATGAAGTGTAGAAGTGGGAGGAGAGAAGGGAGGAGAGAAGGTGGATTCTGTGTAACGCTCAAAAAACCTTTCACTTGGGAAATTGCTTTTGACATGCCAGATCTGTTTCTAATAAATCAATTGAAGAGATAACGTCTCGGAGTGATTGATATCATGATACTTTCTGGATGCCTTACAATAGACCCTGGTGCACTTGAGATCTTTTTCTGAAGTTAACACAAAAGTTAAGCAGTCAAAAAAAAAAGATGTACTATTTGTGGTGACAAATTTGAGGAGAAGAAATGCTAATAACAGGAGACATTAACTACCTGGACATATGTTGGAAAAACATTTAAGGCAAAACTGCAACGTTTCCAAAATTCTTCTATAGTCTTTCTGACTGCTTCATTGTCAAGAAACTTGAAGAAGAAACAAGAGAATTGATGATCCTAATGAACAGGGAAGAGTGTTGAAGTAGGGAATAGCTAATTGAAGATGCATAATCAAGGAGAACCTTGGAAAGAATGTTGATATCATCTTGGAGTTCAAGTGTTCCAGAAACAGATTGGAGCATAATCATAAATGCACACTACAAAGTTAATTTCAACAAGCTGAGAGAAACGCTAAGTCTGATTGAATTGACAGAAATCCTTAGGTCAAAGGAAGTACAGGAAGGCTGGCACTGGAAATACAATAACACATCATTCCATTGAGGGGAAAAACAGGCAGCTTAGAAAACTGTTGTGGGTGCATGGGTAATTGAGAAAACAGAAAGTGGGTTGTAATTTCCAAGAAGTATCAGTAAGTAGTTAATATTTGCAGAAAGAAATAAAGTTTAAATTGCAAAAGTAAACTTCAATTCGCAAGGGAAGCTGAAAGCAGTAAAAAGAGCTTTTTTGACTATTCTACCATTTTCTCTGGGCAGTGGACCATCTCAATGTGAAAAAAAAGAGGCTGACTCAGTGTAATTCTGTTGTGTTAAAATAGAAATATCAGGATGACTACTAACCTGTAATTCCTCAGGTCCTCCTTTTTCCTTTTTGGAAAATACCAGCATTTACCATCCTCCAGTTTTCTAACGATGTGCCTGGAGGACAGGCACATCATTAGAGAACTGGCGGGTGGTAAATGCTGATATTTTCCGAAAAGGAAAAAGGTGGACCTGAGGAATTACAGGTTAGTAGTCATCCTGATGTTGAAACTGGAAAAATTCTGGAATAGGTTAATAAGCATTTTGTGAGCATTTAGGAAAGAATGAAGTGCTTGGAAAGCTAGCAGAGGCCTATGAAGAATTATGAGGTTCAAAAAACTGATCTTTTTTTTTTTTTACTAACCATTTAGTTGATCATGGGGATATGTTGCATGTAATGTATCTTGACTTCAGCAAACATTCAACCATGAAATACTAGTAGAAAAGACAGCAAAATGAGGGCTACACTATGTTGCCATTAGTAGATTACAGGTTGAATAATTGTACTGAACAATTCCATATTTGTGGATTGCTATTAAATTGAAAAGTAATGTCAAAGTGGTGAACTGCAGGACTCAATTCTGTTCAATATATTTGAGAACCACTTTGGTCTAATGGTGAAGGCACCAAACTAGAAAGCAGGAGACCATGAGTTAAAGTCCTGCCATATCCATCAAAGCTAGCTCGGTGACCTTGGGCCTCGGTGACCCTATCTCTCTGCTCAACTCACCTCACATGGTAGTTGTGGGGAAAATAGGGAGAGGAAGATGCGTTGGATATATTCTCTGCTTTGAGTAAATTTGTAAAAAAATAAAAGTGGGATACAAATAAATTAATAAATATTTATAAATGACATGGATGACAAGTTGCAAAATGATACAAATATAGAAGGGATACCTTAGGGTTAGGGTCACAAGATCTTTGACAGGCAGGAAGACTGAGGAGAAACCAGTAAAATGAATTTCAACAAGGATAAATGAAAATTGAAGGATAGAGGGACTATATTGGACAGCAGTATAGCAAAAAGAAACTGATAATTGTTAATACAGTCCTTGACTGCATCAGCAGAAGTAGCATCAAAATCAAGAGAAATCATTGTTCATTCTCTGATAGTTAAACAGCATCTAAATTCCTGCATCCAGTTCAGGTCACTGCATTTCAGAAAAGAAATGGGCAAACAACAGAGAGAACAGAGGTGATTGAAGACCTGGAAGTAAGGAACAATTGGAGGCACTGGTACATTGAGCTGGCAGAAGAGAAAACTGCTGGAAGACATATCTTGAACTATTTAAAGGGTTGTCATTTTGTTGGGAAGAGAGTGCAGATTCGGAAATAATAGATTTAAATGGCAAGATTGGACAGCAGGAAGAATTTTCTAATGTTCAACAATGAAAGTGACTGATGGGCTTACTTTACTGGAGGTCTTTGAACAAAAGCTGCATAACCATTTGGTAGATTCCTGAATTGGAGGTTTGGACTTCGGCAAATGATTTTCAAGATCTCTTCCAAATCTTACGTTCTCTGATTCCATGATGACGTGCTTCATGAGCACTGAGAACTAAATAAATTAATACTGAATGTAAAAATAAACAAGCTTATGAAACTTCAGGACAAGATAAATGGGAATTACTTTCCTCCTATTTGCCAGCATCTCATTAAAATACTGTGTAAAGGCCATAATGTAATAGATAAACATGTGGCATGATTTGGTGGATATTTTGCCCCAATTCTTTTCTTAGAAAATGTTAACAAGTCAACCATTTTCTAGGTATTGTGACCTCTGAATGTTATTTTATGTAGAATCAGCTCACATATATCTATTGTTCCAGATCTTAAGTTGATAACATTTATTATCTTGTGATTTACGTGAAGACTGAGGAGAGTCTGCCTTGTGTGATCTAGAACTCTATTTCCTTTTGTTGTACCAGATGGCATTCATACTGCTTATTCATTGCTACCCCCAGTGTTTTGCAAATAAAGAGCTTTGAGTCCACTTGTCCTGGTGTAATGCGAATGGGATGACACCATGCAAGTGAAAAGGCAACAAAACCTGAGTGCACTAACAGGCAGCGGCTGGTGCTGCAGTAAAAGGCTGAGGTTGGCAGTGGAGGCTGCAAGTGGGTCGGCTCTTACCTGACCACCTGCAAAAATGACAGGGGTGGAGGCAGGCTTTGGGCGATAGGGGATGGTGGCACCTTTCGGTGGGGACTAGGAAAAGGGACAAGGAGAGGGAGAGAGAACATTAGACCACGTTTCCTAAAACAACAGCAAAAAGAGCGTTAGAGGGCAACCAAACATGTACAAATCAAACCATACTGAATATGAACTGATAAAGTTAACTCTGCAAGGTTTTGTTACCAGACCAGAAACTAAAGACAGAATCATTTAGTGGGCCATTGATCGTGGCCAGGTATTCACTTGCCTTGGGACTGCTGGGCACAAGTTATAGGCTCTCCTTTCCATCGATGATCTGCTTAAGACAGCAGCAGAGGGATTGTGAGTTTGCAAGGTTTCCAGCCCTCTGAAGACCACTTCCAAGAGCTTTCTCTGAGCCTTTAGACCAAATTATGTCTTCTATTTTTTCTGCTTGCCACGAAGTTGCCCCTTTTTATTTTAGTATTTTTGGACAATCACAAGATACATTTAAAAAACTATTGCAAATAGTTTAGTAATGTAGCTCACTCACCCACTTCATTTTTTCCAAAGAGCCACCAATCTGGTATGAACTGTTTAGCCAAAAGGCGTGAATGTGGCTTCCTGAGACTTTCAAAAATTATTACCCAATTCTAATTTTTAAATAAAGGGAGAAGAAAATTACTAAATATATGATTGGAAAGTAACTAAAGTAAGTGTATTTAATGACATTTAACTAAAAATAAAATCAAATTAAGTTTTAATGCTGGCTTTATTTACTATTTGGGCGGGCACTGCTGCCCTTAGCTACTACCCAGAAGCCAAATATGGCCCAATAAAGAAGTGCACATCCCTGTGCTAAAGTTACTTATTGTTGGATTAACATTTGCTCCTCCACCTGGCAGTCAAATCTAATTGTGTGAACCTTATTTTTATTCTCATGTACTGCCTATCAATCTGAATAATTTTCACTTTCTTTCAAAACTTGCATAAGCAATGGTTATAGTTTAATTTTTCAATTCCTCCCTAATATTCAGAATCAAGGAAGCACTGCAAGTCACAATATTTGGATATTCTAAGAAGACAAGTCTAGGGCTGTAGCAGGAACAGAAAATAATACCAAGTGTAGCAACCGTTAATTTCACCAGTGAAGTTCAAGACAGTGAAATTCATGAAGGAAAATGTAAATCAGAATTCTGGAAATAATGAATCTTGGCCTGGAGCCAATGGAGCATAATGAAGTCATACATAGGAAGGTTATTTAAGTACATGAAAAAATTAACATGCTGGAGATAGGTCTAGGTACTGTCTTAGCTGAAATATTCATGAAATGTTACCTTGAAAATCTACAATAAAAAAAGATAAAGCACTTGCTTTTTTGGATACATTCAGAAAGCCCCTTTTTTTAATTTCAGTGAGGTTTAAGCACCCTGCTCTTATTGTAGCCAGAATTGCTCATTAACTTCAGTGACCAGGAATCTGCTCTTGTACTGATTTCTTCAACATTTTTTCATAACCATGAATCCACCTCCAACCCCCGCCTGATCCAATATTATCAACGCCCATTCTTGTTTCTAGATTTTCATTCGCTATCATATACTTTCTAGTAGCAATTCCAAAGCACATCATCTAACAGGTATTCATCTTTTGTATTATTTTTGGATAAAAGTGCTCTAAAATCAAGAGATTTTTCATTTGAAAGCAGAGGATGGAGACAAATAGAAACCATGTGCTGGTCTTATACTAGAAATATCCTTAACAATTGAAGAATACAAATAACACCAGAAAGTTAATGAATTAGAAAAATAGAAGTGATATTATGTCACTCCTTTCATTCCTGTTTCTTTGGATTTCTGAAGAATGTAATTGTTTCATATTAAATATGCAAAACTGCATCTTTTATAATTAAAGTATATTTAATGACAATATAAACCAAATGGGCTAGTAGGTATTGCAAGCCTCCATACTCTGTCTCCCTAAACTATTATTTTACCCTAAATCTTCATAGAATTACTTTCTCATGTAGCCACCCAAAGCTGTTTTGAACCCCAGATTGGTTGAATGCTTGAGTAGGCAAGGACTAATAACAATCCATTTTCAGTTATTTACTTATGTTCCTGTATACTTTACCCCTATTGTTACAGATTGTACCTCCAGCATCACCACACAGATCTGTTTGACACACTGGATAATTGCATCGGGGGTCCCTGAAATGGTCACTGCCCTTTCTGTAGAGTTGGGCAGCATATCCCCTGCCACCTGAACCTGAGCACCTGTGGACTGAAGAAAGGAAACAGCTTATTTTTTCTGCACAGGCACTTAAACATCCTGGTATAATCACTTTTTGCTCTCTTTTCATACATATATGTGTGTGTGTGTGTGTGTGTGTGTGTGTGTGTAAAGCCATAAGAACCAAGATTCTCTGGGAAATGAGCAAAACTAAAATAAATGGTAAATAAAGAATGGACAAACAGTGATGTTGCAAATAGGTCAGAGTAGGAACAGCACATGAGTAAAATAAAAAATAAAACCCAGTGAAAAGTTTGGCATTAAAAAGATATGAATATAGACCTCAAGTGAGCCTCTTTCAAGATGGCATTCAACAAGCCCACCATCCCTCCTTGTTTCAGTGACCTAGGCATAGAGGCAGCTCAATGAAAGCCTTGGGTAATGAATTGAGACGGAAGGATACTATTCTACTTCAGTACCCTGGCCCAATGCTCTTTGGTTGGCTTTAGAGATTAAACCATCCAGGCAGGGGTGGGATGCAATTATTTTTACTACTGGTTCAGTGGGAGTGGCTAGGTGGTGTGGCCATGTGACTGGGTGGGTGTGGCTTCTCTTTTTTTGTGCAGCACCCCACCCCCACCCCCCGTTTTTTTTTGCATCCTGGGCCTCAGGGAAGCCTCCTTTTGTCCAGGTTTTAATTGTATATTATCTGGGATGAGTCGCCATGTTGAATAGGTGGCAATACAAATCCAATAAATAAATAAATAAATAAAATAAGAAATAATTAAAAATCACTCTGCTAACATGGGCTAGCCATACCATTAGGCAGAGTGAGGCAACTGCCTCATGCAGCCATTTTAGATAACTGGCCATCACTGCTCCTGCCCTCTGGAATAGCATCCCCCCCCCCGAGAGACAAATAGCACCCCTTCTCTTGTGGTTATGGAAGTGTGTCCTGGCTGTGTTCCCAGGCCTGGGGTTAATGTGTTTGTGTTTTCTTGTTATTATTATGGCTGGTTTTAATCCAGACTTTCCATTTTGTTTTACATTTTTCATTGTTTTAACTATCCATTTAGACTCACCCAAATTTTACTAGAACGGATGGCCATAACAAATTTAGATAAATAAATAAATAAAAACAAATTACTAGTATTTTATACTAGTGTAGAGCCTCAGTGGCGCAGTGGTTAGAGTGCTGTACTGCAGGCCACTTCTGCTGACTATCGGCTGCCTGCAATTTGGCAGTTCAAATCCCACCAGGCTCAAGGTTGACTCAGCCTTCCATCCTTTCGAGGTGGGTAAAATGAGGGCCCAGAGTGTTGGGGGCAATATGCTGACTCTGTAAACCGCTTAGAGAGGGCTGTAAAGCACTATAAAGAGGTATATAAGTCTAAGTGCTATTGCTATTGTATTTTTGCTGGTTGCACAACAGTGTTATATAAAACAGAATGGAGCAGGTAGAGGGCAATTATTCCTAGAGAATGTCCAACTAAATTATTTACTTCTTTTAACGTATAAGTAATATATTTATAATTGGACTTTAGTCATTAATATTAACACCATTTCAACATAGTAGAGATGAACTTAAAGAGATTGTGGCCAAATGAAATTTTCTATAAGTGGAAACTCTTGCCTGAGAACATGAAGGTTCTCAATATGATTCCTGCTTCACTTTATGACAATTGACTACATGAAGATTAATGAATTAGAGAGGTTTAAAGACCGCCCTTTCTTTTATTTCTCATAGAAAATGACTTTCTCTGCACATAGGAAAATCAGAGACTTACCTCCCTGATTTCTTTAATTTTGGAGCCTCCTTTGCCTATTAATGATCCACACTGGCTTGCTGGTACAACCAACCTTAATGTAACTGGTGGCTTACTTGTAGCTGTGCTGTTACTCATTGAGTTGATTATATCCTTTAGGAAGGAAGGAAGGAAAGGAGAGAAGAAGTTTGAATGGTACTTTATTAAACAAGCCAAGCATCTTTATCACATTGTAGAACTGTGAATGAGCAAATGAGAAAATAGAATTGGTTTTATTTTGCCTAAGTTGTTAAAACCAGCAGATCTGTCAAATTTAGGAAATTTGTATCTTATATTTTACATAGTTCCTCATCTTTACCACTACTATTAGGGGTGGGATTCTACTGGTTCGGGCTGGTTCAGCCGAACCCCTTACTCCAATGATTAGCTGTCTCTGAACCAGTTCGCTGCGACGAGCATGTGGGATCACAAAGTGCGCTATCACCGAACTGGTTGCTTTACTGGTGGAATCCCACTCCTGACTATTACACATTTAGGACAATATCAAAGGAACAGGATATGAACAAACACATTTTCTGTTAATGTTCCTAATACATTAAAGAGCGTGATGGCTCAGCAGTTAAAGACACTGACTTTGTCAGCTGGAAAGCTGACAGCCTGGGTTGAAGAGCCCCAGCTCCTGCCCACCTACCCATTCGAAAATATGCAAATGCAAGTAGACAAATAGGTACCATTTTGATGGGAAGGTAACAGAATTCCATGCTGGCCACATGACCACAGAAATGTCTTTGGACAACACTGGCTCCCATGGCTAAGAAAAGGAGATGAGTATCACCCCTTAGAGTTGGACAGGGGGAAACCTTTACCTTTATCTTAAAGTTATTTTGCATTGCTAAATCTCCTGAAAAAAAATATGGCTGAATAATTCAGTGAATAAATGTTTTTCAGTCTGATATACCCATATCACAAAACTTTCTCTGGCAGGGGTATTTATAAGAACCCATGCTTAATTCCAGACAGATCCCAAACGAAACCATAATGAAGTGAAAGGCCTGGTGGATATGTACCAATTGTCATTATTCCTATAACATTTTTTAAAAAAGCATTTTGAGGAGTTTTTACCAAGAAAGTGTCAGTAGAAAATAAACATTTCAATAGATGTTTATTACCTCTTCAAATTTATAAGCAATCATTGCAAACGCTTTGAATATGGCATCAGTAGGGCCTGTAATGGTCACAATCCTTTCTGGACAGTTTCCTTCTGAGATATTGATTCGTGCTCCACTCTATAATTGAGAAACCACATCTTGTCATACATATGGGGGATGTTGAAAATATAGTATACTCAGACTTCAGTAAGATATTTGATAGAGTAGACATAGATGTTTTGGAAAAATGTGGGCTAGATGGTCCCATTATTAAATGGATTCATAGTTAAATGAAAAACCATAGCCAAAGGGCTATGGTTAAGTTAATGGGTCTTTGTCCAGATAGAGGCTGGTCTGTAATGGGGCACCTCAGGTTCTGTCCTGGGCCTGTACTATTCAACACTTGATAAATGACTTGGATAAAGGAATAGAAGGGATGCTCATAAAATTTGCAGATCACACAAAGCTAGGAGGGAAGATAGCTAATATCTCTGAAGTCAGGCTCAAAATTCAAAAAGATTTTGATACACATGAACATTCTGCCCTATCCGTCAAAATGTTGTTTGATGTTGAGAAATATAAGGTTCTGCACTTAGACTAAGATACATGCACAAGTACAACTCAGGTGATAAGGTCTAACAATAATATTTGCCAGAAAGATCTGGGGATCTTGGTAGATCACAGAGAAAGGGTGAGCCAGCAATGTGCTGCAGACATCAAAAATGCCAATGCAGTTTTGAGCTGCATTGGTATGTCTATGATGTCAAGATGATAAAAAGTGATAGTATTGCTCTACGCTGCACTGCTTCATGCCTGTAAAACTGTGTCCAATTCTGGTGGCCACAATACAAAAAGAATGTTGAGGAACTGGAAAGAGTGCAGTGAAGAACAAAGATGGTTGAGGGGCTTGGAGATTAAATCCCATGAAGAATGTCTGTAGAGATTCTCTCCAGGTCATGGTTGTCCCAAAGGTGCTTGTTTCAAGAGGCAACTGGATTTTCTGGATGTTTTCTTTGAAGACATTTCACTTCTCATCCAAGAAGCTTCTTCAGCTCTGACTGGATAGTGGGGAATGGAAGGATTTATACTCCTTGCAGACAGCTAGTCATTTGCATTCTTTTAACAGGTTGTTAAGGTCACCTGGAGGTTCATCTGTGTCATCAAGGTCAGCTGAGTGGTGCAATTGGGTGTGGAGCCTTCTTGGAACTGTTGAAAGGACTGTGTTGTAGATTGGAGGTAGATGACATTGTATCCCTTCCCCTCTGTTGAGAGAGGGCTGTTCAATTTTGACATAGATGGCCTCTTTAACCCCTCTTTCAAACCAGCGATCTTCTCTGTCCAAAATATGGACTTTGTTGTCTTCAAAGGAATGGCCTGTGTCTTTAATTGGACCATATGACTGACTGTTTGGGGAAAGGGAGAAACGTTTACTTTTAATTAGATGAAAACTGCGGGAATATCCAGAATTGATTTTTACCACCTTATGCCAATATGATATATCCAATAAATCAGTTCTTTGAGGAACCTACTTGCCTTGGAGCCTCTGTTTATTCTGGATGTATTACTTGGAACCCTGACAGATGGGAAAGAAAAAGAACATAAACACATCAAGGAAGCCCTCATAATGTGTATCTATCCCAAGTGGACCTTCATCAAATCTCAAAAAAGACCCTACAGGGGCTCCTCTGTAACAGACTATGATGAGACCAATAAAAGAAGCAACGTTGTCATTCCGTACATTGCAGACATATCGGAAAACTCAGGAGGACCTTCAGCCAACATAAGATACACACATAGTTCAAACCCAAAAGGCAGAAGCAGAAGCTTGTCCATCCCAAGGATAAAACACCCAGACAGAAACTGAGCAACATGGTATATGCAGTGAGCCATGTGAAGATTTGTACATTGGGGAAATGAAACAACCACTTCATAAATGCATGGGACAACATAAAAGAACAAACACATTAATTTCAGCAGTCCATCTGCATTTAAAGACAGTGTGGGAGGGATATGACAGCCTTTTCAACAGTTCCAAGAAGGCTCCACACCCAATTGCACCACTCAGCTGACCCTGATGACACAGTTGAACCTCCAGGTGACCTTAACGACCTGCTAAAAGAATGCAAATGACTAGCTGTCTGCAAGGAGTATAAATCCTTCCATTCCCCACCATTCAGTCAGAGCTGAAGAAGCTTCTTGGATGAGAAGCAAAATGTCTTCAAAGAAAAACTAGAAACTCCAGTTTGGGACAACCATGAAGAATGATTAAAGTGATCCTATAAAGAGTGGTCTATATTTAGCTTAAAGAAGAGAAAACTAGGGGGAAACACGATAGCAGGGGAAACATGATAGCAGTATTCTGATACATAAAAGGATGTCACAGGGAAGAGGGAATACAGTAGATATATTCTCGCTGGCATCTGAGGATAAGGTAAGAATCAGTAGGTAGAAATGTTACAATGCGAGATCCAAAGCTGTACAAAGACAAAATTTCCTGACTATGAATCTAATAAGAAATGGAACAGTCTATCTCCTGAAGTTGTAGCTGCTCTGGAGGAAAACTGGAGGTTTTCAAGAAAAAAAACTGGACAGCCATTTGTCCAAAATGGCATGAGGAATCATAGAATCATAGGGCTGGAAGAGACCTTGGAACTCTTCTAGTCCAACTCCCTTCCCAAGGCAGGACGAATGGTTGTCCAATCTTTTTTTGAAAACCTCCAGCGATGGAAGCCCACAACTACAGGAAGCAAGCTGTTTCATTGATTGATCATTCTCACTTTCAGGAAGTTCCTCCTTATTTCCAGGTTGAATCATTTTATGACAAACTTCCACCCATTGCTTCTTGTCCTGTCCTAGCAGTTGGGGAGAATAAATTAATGCCTTCTTTCCTGTGATAGCCCTTCAAGTATTGGAAGACTGCTATCATATCTCCCTTGAGCCTTGTCTTCGTTAGGCTAAACATTCCTAGTTCCCTTAGTTGTTTGTTGTATAATGTAACCTCTACCGACCTCTTATCATCTTTGTTGCTCTTCTCTGCAGTCTTTCTAAAAGCTCAGCATCTTTTTTTGTATTGCGGTGGTCAGAACTGGATGCTGTATTCAAAGTGTTATCTTACCTGTGCAGCATCATATGGTACTTTCACTTCTTGTGATTTTGATACTATCCCTCTGTTGATGTTGCCTAGAACTGCATTGGCTTTTTGGCAGCTGCAGCACACTGCTGGCTCATACTTAAGCGATGAGCAACTAGGGCACCTAGATTCTTCTCACAGTTACTACTGTTGAGCCAAATACGTCCCATTCTATACCTGTACATTTGATTTTTAGGATCTGGTTTTAAGATTTTAAGAAAATCTATACCTATGCATTTGGTTTTAAGATCCTCTACTGGGCAGGTGGTTGGCCTAGAAGACCTTTTATATACAGCAGATTCTTAGAAAATGTATAGATTTCATATTTTGTATTGGTTGTGGATTACCAGTTATTTTTATATGGGAATGTTTAGAATGGTTTGTTTAGAACAAACCAGACACTCAAAATATATGATAACTATAATCAAACATAAACCACACAGGTTCTAACTCAAGTTGCAGTCAAACAACAATGTATAATTAGTATTGGATTACAACTTCTTTTGACCTATGAAAATAACTCTGTTCAGGCATTTAGAAATTCAGAATAGCTTGGGCGGGCATGACAAGCTTCTTAATATCTATGTAGGAAAAATTACAGAGCAGGATCCAGGTTTTCTCTGGTGGTTCAAAATGGTCATCTGTACTTTTGCCATAGGGAAGCTAATCTGCTTTCAACACTAAAGAGTGTGACTGCATGAAGAAAAACAAACCAACTCATTGGTCAACAAATTTCAAGCCTTCTCAAGGTAATGATGCTCACCTCCTCACGCATCTTTTTTACTGTTTCTCCTTTCTGTAACAACAAGAAGAAAAGAAACCGTTGTTAGAACAAACTGACTAAAATATCATTACTCTTCTTGCAACACAGAATATACAGATTGTTACTTTTTGTATGGTATCTATGTAATACTGATAACCACTGACAATCAATAAAGTTGTATTATGGAAGCAAGGTAGAGTGTTGAGAAATTAGAGTGAATTTGAAAATCTTAGAACTCATAATACTGAATATGCACAATTTATAATCAATTATGAAATATGATTTGGAATCTGAACAATTCAAGATTGGTATGATTAAAGGAATGTAAAACTTGTATACAATTATAGAAATAGAATAGTGGGCATTTAGATGAAAATGGAACTTTTCACCCTGAACTTCATCTTTAGAGAGAATTAATTTAAAATATTTTAATGACTGATTTTATCATTATAGCCATGATTGGTAAAATGAGTATCTTTTTTTCTCCAAAATGCTGGAAATGCAATGAACAATTTGGTGTTTTTTCCCCATTCACAGTAGCAATGTTGCGAAGGTCAACAACATTGGAAATTAATTCATTGTAGAATGGAACAAATCTTTAAAGTCATAATTCTGTTTCATGAAAAAAATTTAAGACTTCACCAAACCACACTTTCCTTCAAAATACATAGAATTGGCATTATACATGGTAATGGTTGCATTATATGCTTTTTATTGGAAAATAAATCTCCAACTCCTCTATGGAAGAATGGAAGAATTAAATTGTGGGAATATTCTTTGATATTTTGAAAAACTTTATATCTAAAAAGTAAACCTTATGTACATTTCAATCGTATTTGAAAACTATTTCTGGAATACAATTCTGTAAATGGAATTGTCTCACAAGAGTTTAGAGTTATTATTTCAGTTTGATATACAGTGTACAGATTATTTACAGTATTCTTTCAATGTATTTCTTTTCTATTATTGATTTAAGTTGTGTTAAACAAATATTTTTACAATTCAAAAGAGACATATTTTGATTAGAAATTGAGTACGAAATATCTTCGAGAACGCTTAAGTTGTTAATTGTGTATTGCAGTATATTAGCCAAATGATATTTTAGATTTCCTGGTTATTCAAGAATTTTTGATTATCCGCCATCCATATTTTACTGCTTATATTGTCGTTTTTTATTACTATATTTTCTATAGTTTTTGTATATTATTCAGTTAGTGATGATTGGAGCCATACAAAGTAGGTTTTAGTTCAGAGAAAAATAAGCATCAATTTTATCTGATTCATTGTGGACCCAGATGCTTTTGCTTTAATGTGGAAATATGTATATAAAATTTTCCTGAAATAACAACCTTTAGTAAAATCTCTCTCTTTCTCTTTCTCTTTCTCTTTCTCCAACTATATGGTCTCCTTTGGTGTATTAGTAATAAATCAGTATATGAATATTTGAAGACCATTTAATTGTTAAGATAAATAAATATATAATTCTTATTTGCCTGATAGCTTCATAATGACTATTTATATGTTTTTTGTTTGACAGTAACAGGATATTAGCTTTATTAGATTAGCTGCATCTCAGAATTCCATTACATTTGATGTGAAATAGAAAGATTTTTATTTTCAATGAAAATAAATATTGATTATATTTTGTTCAGGGATCCTTCAGATTGATAGAAACAAAATCTGACTTATATCAAAGGAAATTGACCAACAGAAGTATTTTCATACATTGGTTAATTGGTGTGAATATTTAACTGGTGTAAATATTATATTCGATTGAGTCTGATTCCATGGACATAGCTATTTAGTTTTCTTGGAGAGTGAGTTGTTTGATATTAGGAAACTTATTTCCTCAAAATACTTTCAAATCTATTTCCTATATGCAATTATTCACATTGTTCCAGGCTTTTCTTCAATTATTGACCCTTTGTTTATTATAGATATGTTCTCAGCATTTCATAAGCTCCTATTGAATATCTGCATTTTCCTCCCACATCCCATCTAAGTGAATGCAGATGTTGCTTGATGCTGCCTTCTGCTTTTAATAAGAAACCAGATTGGCAAATAGCTCAGTGGAGAAAGCAGTTTACATTTAGGGAAAAGGGAGATGGCTGGGTGCATAGGCTTCTATTTTACCAATTATGACTCTCATGCTCTAATTATATACGGCTCTTATTCTCTCAAGAACTAGCTAGGAAGGAAGAGGGAGAGAAAACAAAATCTTGAGCCCCTTGCTGGTCACCTCCCACATAGCTCTACCCACAAAGAACATGTATGAGCATTCAAACGTAGAGGATATCACATTACCTTCCCAATGATGCTTCCAACTTCCTGTTGGAAAGAAAATGGCAACAAAGTAAGAAAGTAAAAGCTTTAATTATCAGTAAATCTTATTTATTTTGCTCATTGTGTTTATTAATTTCTAATCACAATTGCATAAGTGTAAAATAAATAATTTCTTTATTAGCAATAATATAAAACAATGAAGAAAAGAGCCATATTTGTGGAGTTCCAAAGATTTTAGGACAGCAGATGTTCCCCTGCCCTGATAGCCTCTCTTGGACTTCTAGTTCTTGCTGTTCTGACTGTATAGCCATATTTGTAATTAATTGAAAAGTTATTACTGTATATTAATGTTGGCTAGGTAAAACCTAAAATGAAAAATGCATTGGATATTAAAAGAGAATCTCTGCCATCCTTTGATATCAATTAACAAAGATATATGTTAGTTACTTAAATCACTAGAGGGTTTTTTTCCTTTCATGAGACATTCCCTCTCCACCTCTACTACAACAAGGTTTACATATTTGTACCTTGTTAGGAGATAAGAAAAAGAAGAATTTTACCATGTAGCTTTCTCCCTCCCCATTCAAGCCAAACATTAAAAAAAACATTGAATAGCCATGCCAAAATAACTACCCTAACCACAACCTTGTCCAAAATTTATCAAGCTGGGTCCCATATTTACAGCAAAATATAATACATGAACAGGTTTGCGGTAAACAGGAATGTTAGTGAACCCACTGTATCACAATTTGGCAAGCTGAGGTTCATGGACACTTGGTTTAGTTCTCCTAACGTATGGCATTAGCATCAAGTCTCATTTTAATTTCCCCTGAGCTTCCTAATTAATAGAAAGGCTTATCTACATTGATGAATGATGATTAGAGCAGTATTGATACAGAATAACTCAGATGTGTTGGCTGTCTGTCAAAAAGATACGTTGATGCTTTATCTCTTGCTTAATATTACTGTATTCAAAAATCTTGCTTGTCTGCCTGGAGGGGGAAAAACAAAAGAACTTCCAGGAACAAAGTAGTGGTGCTATTCCTTTTGTCTAGTGTCTTTATGCACAACTGAAGAGAGGTGGCTGCATATCTCCATCTCCTGTACTTGGAGAAATTCCTGCAAGAAGTATCAAAATCATGCTTGCTTTTTCAAATAATTGCTTCATTATTTTTTTAACTCATCTCACGGCAGTGATTCTGGGTAGCGTACAGTGCTTAACCCAAACAATCCAGAACAACAATTTCTTTGCCAACCAGAACCACTTATTTGGGGTAGGCAGCCATAGAAATTGAATAAATTAATAAACAAATCCAATTAAAAATGTTTGAGATTCCACAAATCATGGCATTTACAGGGGAAAAAAACCAATTTAAACAATTGGCTGGCAGAATTTGCTCAGCCTCCCAGTCCAAATGCAGTGAAGAAGAACTAGATCTTTAAAGCCTTACACAAGGCTAAATGAAATTACCCTTGAAGTTTAGGACTTCAAAGACAGGGACATCAGTTTATATTCAGGGAAATAGCCTTCGTAACATTTGACAACAAGAGGTTTTGAGAAAACAAGAGAGAACATAATTCATAATCAATTTATTGCACTTATATATGAACTAGCCAACATTTTTGTAAGCAGTTAACGCTAACTGTTTGTACGTGATTTATTACTTATTTCATCTTATTTCACTACTTTATTACTGATTTTAGTACAAATAGTATTCAAACACTATAATGCTTCTCCTCACTTTCTGTGTCCAAAGTGGATATAATCTGGACGTCATCACTGGTGAAGACTACTAATAATTTGTCCCAAATGACAGTTATTATAAACCTATGCACATTATAAGGAATACTGATGTGAGTAGATAGTTACGTGGGTCAAACAGTACAGTATAAAAATTAAGAATTTCACCTACAGAAATCTAAATCAGTCAAGAATAAAGGAAAATGTTACCTGAAACATCAAATTGGGATCAATCCAATTTACAGTCTGTGCATTTCCCATAGGATACAATTTGAGGGTTCTAGAACCATAGCTGTAATATTTGCTTCCCAATAAAAGGATGTTCCATTTAGGAATCATGCATTACATGTGTTTTTCAGGGAATAAAAGTATGGCATACATGCACAGTTTTTGGATTTATATATAAACAAAGTCAGCCTTCATTACTATGCTTGAATTAGAAGTGATGACATGAAAACACTTCAGTACTGCTCACCTTTCCATGCATCAATAATCTGATGGTGAGAGTCACATTCAGACCTCCTTCAGAGACTTTAGATTCCATACTTTGTCTTGGAATATTGTGATGGTGTTGATAGTTTGGAGACTCAAAGAAATAAAGATGTATCCACACAGGAGATCACCTGCTAGTGAAAAAAACAGATGCTCCTTTTGTAGGATAAACAAATAAATAAAATAAATATTTATTGCCACTCAGCACATTAGCTGCAGCTTCAAATCTAAGGATGAGGATAAACTTTTATTCAGCAATCTCAATAAAATGTTGTCAGCATGTGAACCTCACTTAGGCTCTCTTTATTCAGTGCATCCATAAACCCTCCTCGCCATAGAGGCCACTTGGGCCTCCATTTTTGATACATACATACTACATATATAGTATAGATCTCCCGCCGTCATTACTCAATTTCTCATATGTGAAAGCATTTTGTATTATGCAAGAGTTGTGATTCTAACTGTTCCTTGCCTCAGATGTTTTTAATTGCAATTTTTAAAAGATTTTTTAAAATCCACCTTGATTATTTTTATCAATAACTCATGTTGATGAACATATCTAATACTCCTTCCTCCTCTTGTTTTCCCTTCAACAATAACCCTGTGAGGTGGGTTGGGCTGAGAGAGAAGGAGAAATTGGCCCAAAGTCACTCACTTGCCTTTCAAGGCAGGACTAGAACTCCATCTTCTGTTTTCTAGTCCGCTCTCTTAACCACTAGGATTATCAGTCTTTGGTGGTGGAATTTATTTTGAAGAAAGACACCCCAATCCTGGGAAATGTCCACATGGACTATAGCAGCCTTTTTGTCTGTCTGGAAAATATAAAGGATGAAAATCAAGCTGTTATGTAAATATTTCCAATTGATTGAAAAAGTGGGTCATGTGTTAGCCAAATGCTCCCGGCTTTAAGATTTATCATTGCTATTAAATTATACACGCTTTATGCTTCAGCATGTAGGAGAGCTACATTAGCCTTTTTTCATTGTGCTGGTGAAATATAAGCATTTTTGTCAGAACATTAATGGACATAGGAGCTATATCGATACATATATAGATATAGATACATATATAGGAAATAGGTTGAAAGCCATTTTAGAAAGTGTTTGTTAGTTATTTACATTTTCTAGCTTATACAGAGATTTTATTCTTTGTATATTACATTATCATGTACTTAATTTTAAAGAAATCATGAAATGGATTATTAGACTTTTATTAGAAGAGCCTGAAGGTCTGACTACTGGATGCATATGCTGGGAAATACTGGGATAAGATTTATATAATCAAATGTAGTTTAGTTATTTTCCATCCCTCTTTAAATTATAGTCTTCTTAATTTCTATTTGTTTATTTCAGTTAATTAGACCACTACAGAAAGTTCAAACACTGTCAAGAAAACGAGAGCAAGGAATATTTTAAATTCACACTTCTTGAATACATGTTTTGTATATAATTTGCATACAAATATATTGACATCTATATTATACCTTTAAAATCCTACTAATACAGATAATCCTAGGTTTACCACCAGTCACCTAGCAAAATTAAGAGGAATCTCCTCACAGCTATTTATGACTCAGTTTCAAAGTTCTACCACTAAACCCCCCCCCCCGCCCCCGGGATATGTAATCTCATTTTATGTGCTTGGCAACTGACCCACATTTATAGCAGTTTTCAGTGTCAGACAATCATGTGACCTCAATTTATGAATTTTTTTTCAAGAAACTGGCATTTACTTCTGATTTCTGGCAAAAATACCCATTGGCTGCCAGGGGTATACTGTGGCGTTTGCTTAACAACTGCTGTAAAAAAGGTCATAAAATTGAACAAAGTCATATGGTGATCCGCTTAATGACTGCCAAATTCCTAGTTCAATTACAGTTTGAAGTCGAAGATAACCTGTGCTGAAAAATTTGAACATGTACTAAACCAGTTAGCTGTTTTTAATGTAGACAACAGAACAAAACTTGAACATTCTACTTCAAAGAATGTTCTGATAAAAGATAAAAGACATATACTTGTCTTGTCTAATATGTTTCTTATATGGGGATAAAGTACATTTTAAATTAAGATGGCATCATAGTTGGATATGTATCAGTCTTTTCCTTCGCCTTCTGTGATATTTTTATATTTAATGGCAATTAAGGGAACTGAAAAAAACAGCAGAAAAAACAATTACTACCAACCTAATCAAGGACCTGTATACTGCACGAGTCAAAAAGAGGGCTGTGAAAATATTTACAGACCCCTCACATCCCAGACATAAACTGTTTCAACTCCTTCCCTCAAAGCTATAGAGCACTGCACATCAGAACAATTAGACACAAGAACAGTTTTTCCTCGAACGCCATCACTCTGCTAAACAAATAATTCCCTCAACACTGTTCAACTATTATAAAGACTGCACTACTATTACTGTTAATCTTCTCATCACTCCTTATCACCCATCCCCTCCCACTTGTGACTGTAGGATTGTAACTTTGTTGCTTGTATCCTTATGATTTATATTGACTGTTTCCTAGTATGATTTGATTGCTTAGTGTTCCCTATGACTATTATTAAGTGTTGTACCTTATGATTCTCGACTCTTGATGAATGTATTTTTTCTTTTATGTATACTGAGAGTATTACACCAAGACAAATTCCTTGTGTGTCCAATCATACTTGGCCAATAAAGTATTCTATTCTATGATGACTATTTTATATTTTGATTTTTTCAGAAAGGGTCTGCAATTATAAATTAAATCAAACTGAATGTGGCTATGAAAAGGACATCTCAGCTGGAGCATCATGAGAGGTCAGTTAGTTTGTCTATAATTTTTACCTGATTAACTTTTACTTGAAATTCCCTGGAATTTTATTCTTCTGTGAGTAATTTATGTATAGTTGGAATTATGGCAGTACAGGCAAAAGACCAACAGTGATACTTGAGGATACTTTAACACAGAAACAATGGTCTTTACCTGAATATTATCATTAGATTTAATATATCTCATGAAGTTCTAGATTCTCATTTTCATATTGGTAAGTTGTTTCAGGCATTCAACTGAGAATTTCCTTGGGCTTTATTTGAGAAATGTCAGTTTACTTTCAGTAAAAAAAGCCTGTTTGTGCTTTATTGCAATAAAAAATAAAAATATTCAAAAGAGTCATTCCTTAATATACCAAGGAAGTTCAAAATGTAGAAAGTGGTTTAAAATAGGATTGCTTGAGAAAACAATCTTCAGTAGCTCATTAAGGTTCCATCTATTTTTGTTCTGCATCTATCCAACAAAATATTTCATAATCAGGTGGAAGATGAATAATAACCTATCTCTTTCAGATTCTCTTGAGGAAACTAAGATTTTTAAAAAATCATGTTATTATGGCTTATTCTGCCATATTTGTATTCAGACTGATGAACATTTTTATATCTGGTTCCTAAATAAATAATTGCTTGGGGCAGCTGAATGCTTTTGGCCACATAAAAAGATTACTACAATTTCTATTGCAAAAACACTTTATTTTCTTTCTCCCCATTTCTTCCCCATCCCTTTGCTCTCAACATACAGCCATAACTGAGAGGATCTTATGTTGCTAAGTGAGACAGTTGTTAAGTGAGCTGTGCCCAATTTCATGTACCAGTTACCAAGCACCCAAATTTTGATTACATGACCAGGGGATGTTGCAAATCATATATGTGAGAACTTTTGTAAGTTTTCAGCACCATCATAACTTTGAATGGTTGCTAAACAAATGCTCATAAATCAAGGACTTTCTGTATTGCTTTTGTTCTAAAGTGCCCTCACTTGAGTTATAAATTAAATATAAACTTTATAAATAAATATAAACTTTAATCAGAAATTTCTTTTTTCTTATTCTTCCCATTGATTCATGTAGTACGTACATTAATAATTATCCAAATATTATGCATAGGGAGCATTAAATATGTACTGCAGAATCTTTGACTGCTCATCAGAATGCTTGGATTTTATTTTTAACTATATTTAAGTTTTCTTATCCCACTGTTCTCATTTGTTGGGGAAGTGGGGAACTGATATTTTGCTAGAACATGAATGAATTTATTTTTCTTTCTTCTTGCTCATTTTTTAAAAATTGATAACATTCAATGACAGCCACCTTTGTAACCTTGAGGTTTCAAACTATATGTAGACAAGTACTGAGAAAAATATGAAGATCAATCAAAAATTAAATTGCTCTTTTTGCAAGAGACTCATAGTCTCCTTAACCTTTATCAAAAGCTCATGTGAGAATTGTGTATGAAAATGGTAACTATAAATATGCAAGAGCAGTTTCAGCTTTGATCAGAGGAAACTCTACATTGATTGTTAAAAAAGAAATATCAATCGTGGGAGGTTTTTTTTTAATAATTGTCAAAATGGATGATCAATATCTACCTCTTCTGAATTTAAATTGCCTCAACAAATTTGTAATTGTTTTTCATATCTTCATATTGACAATATATATTAATGAGGTGAATTGAATCAGACATTAAATTTCTTTTCATATAGCAACATGCCATGACCTGTATTCTATTCTCAGATTCATAATATAGATTATGTGTCTAGATTTAATGTAAAGGATATTTAATATTCTATTAATTTGTATGTTTCATTTTTTGATGGTGAACAGTTCTTCATTAATACTGAGTGTTTGCGAGACTTTCCTTATTTAAAAAAATGTTATGAGGTACTAAATCATCTGTATATCAACCTTCAGGGAACAGGTTCTTAGGCAAACTGGGCAGCAGGGAGGATATTTAACAAGACTTTGCTGTGCAAATTAATATAACGATTAAATAACAAGGGGGCAAAATGTAGTTTGTGCTTCAATAATTGCTCATAATGATCTACTGGCCTTATACCATAGGGAAGAATTATCATATCCATTTTGGAAAAGCAGTCATTCAAATTTCTTCCAAAAGTTAAGACCTTCACAAGTGTTATCATTCAAATAAAAAAAAAACTTTTGATTTATGCTTTTCAAAATGTTCCACATATGTTCACCACTAAATGAAACTAATGGCAGCATGCTAGGTGTAGTCTCATTATCCAGA